CTCCTCTCCTCTTGATTTAATGCATTTTCTTCAGCAGTCTGCTTAGGTTTTAGTTATTCTGTGAGTGAGTGAGTGTTCAGTTTCTTATTCTGCCTCTTTCTCTCATTTATATCAGTTATTCTTCCACTTTGTGCTGTGAGTTTTACTGCTGAAGCATCGGATTTGAAGACGGGTTGTGTTGTTTTCTTCACAGAATTCGAATGCAAATTTAACATCATTTTCTCCCCTCTGTCCGAGGCGCGCAGTCTTAGCCAGTATTTATTGCCCGGAGAAACAATAAGGTTTTGTTTTTTTGACAAATTTTTCTGCAAGCAGAAGTCCATTTTGGCAGTGTTTGTGAGACATGCAAATGGAGCGCGACAATTTTATTTAGGCCAAACAAATTGCTTCTTCTTCTTTGCTTGTGATAAACACATCCTATTTTCATTTTTTTAAGCCACTCATTTAAATATCTCAGGGGCGACTGGGACGGATTTTTAACCTGTCCAAATAAAATAACAGTCTAAAAAAAAATAACCACTAAGGACCTCTTTTGTGAACCTAGTTTTGGACTAAATGGCAATGTCAGTGGGGTTCCCCGGGGAAAACTAATCAATTTAGTCTAGGCTTAGGCTTAATCTGGCTCTGGGAAAGCAGCTCCAATAGGCTACAGGTCTGTTCCAATTACTCAATTAAAATCAGTCACTCGCTTTAAAAAATGTATGTTCTCAATGAACAGATAAGACTCTTATCCATCCATTCTTATCTGTTCAAAACTCTTAGATAAGCGTGTTTTAGAGCGATATTTAGTAAGAGCTATTAGCACTCAAATCACTTTTCTCTGTACCATTGAAAGGGAGGAAACCTAGTAGAATCATACAAATGTATTTATGCTTGTAGTTACAAATTGCTGTTTGTGCTACAAATGTCAGGCATATGAAGTAAAAGAATATGAAGGAAAAGGTTTTGTTTAATTATATCTATGCTAGGTTTAAAAGGCTTCCCCAGGCTTCCTTTCTAGAAACATCTAGACATAGAACTTCTCCCCACAAGTGCTGCTTCATTTGAGCAATTACTTCATCTGGAAATAGCTTCGTTTCATCAGGTTTCTATGTTTTGTTGTCTATATTTCAGAAATCAATTGCTAAAAACTACACAAGATGTATAGAAAAGCATTCACTGCTCCAAAATCCTTTATTTTCTATTGTTTCTAAACAAACAAGTGAAGAATAAGATAAAAATGTTCTCCAAATGTTTTACACTGTAAATCTAAGCACCTGAGTTCTAGTCACTCAGTCACCTTCTTCACTGCACTTACAGATATGTGCATCCAGCTGAGCATCATGCTATACTAGGGGGTCTCGAGTAAAGTGGTATCTACCTCAATCCCAGCAGGCCCCTCAGCCTGTCGACATTTGTGTTCCATTCCAGGTCCCAGCAGGCCTGAGTAAGGCAATAAGCTCCTGAATATCAAGCTTAGGTGGGTTGGGAGACAGAATGGAAGAAAAAGGTGGACGGGCTGGAGGTCCTGAAGGACTGCGTTGGGAATCCCATTCTACAATATGTTTCTCAGTCTCTCCGCAAGAGGTTTGCTTGTATTTTTCACTGCTAAGTGGTTTCGTTCTGTGCTCATTTCTACTGTAGTTCCTGTCAGAGCTTTAAATTTATCCTCATCTGTGAACTATAGCCTGTCTGAGACCTGTTTGTTTTTTATCTGGCCTGGTTTTAGGTCTGATATTATGCTGTCGCTTCTTTCTTCAGGCCCCCTCGTGGATGATGGAATGGAAATCGACTTGGAAATATGTAATTAATATGATCTAATATGTGTTCTCCACAGCTCTGTTGTTAGATGGACTAGGATACAGTTGTCTCTTGTGGTGATCTGCTGGAGAGCAATGAGGGGCACAGCAAACCCCCTTTGCTGTGAATGCAAACCACGTCTCCACAGCCATGTGCCAAGATAAAAACAGACAGCATGAATACTCTCTTGACTTTTTATTGAAAAAACACAACCCTTTGACATAAAATCCAAATTATCTGAAGTTTTTGCTGCTTTTTGTTTTCAGGTTATGCCCTTTTTTCTGAGCAGTGTCTCTGTGTGTTTTTTAGGAACACTGCTTATACGTGAAAGTTCTCTGGCAGTTTCTGTCCACAGTTACAAGAAAGCACTTTGCAAACTCCACACAAGAAAGAGGTCAGTTTATTACATTTTTTACATGGCCTGTATCATCTGCATCATGATGGACAATCGCTCATGTCTTCTGAATAATATGATTCAGGATCTGAAGGGTTGTCACGCTGTGCATCGTTCATTACTGGAACAACAACTCTGGAGCCTCGTCTTTAGAAATCATCCTTTTAGCCATATTTCTGTTTATTTTTGGGTTGTGTTTCTTGCTTTTCTCTTCCTTTATCCCAAAGTTGCCCAAAAACACTCCCACCATGACTTTCCCGAATTCTGAAAGTCAGTTTGGCTGATGCAACCTAAGCAACTCTTTAAAGATTTCATCTCGCCAGTAAGACGGCTACTTCTAAAGGATTAAATTAGGCAAAGACAAAGGTTCTGAAAGTACTGTAAGATGAGGTTAAAGGCTGCAGTAAATATTAGCCATATTGCTGCTAATCTGCCAGAAGCCTGAAGTTTCTGGAGTGACTGGATAACAATAAACTAGTTTAAGTTTCTCTGTGTAGAGTACATCACATTCCAGAGGTGATCAATAAGCCTGTGGGTTCTTTCAGGGGAAACTGGAAAGCAGTAGTTTAGAACAGGCTGTGTTTGGATGATTAGATGAGGTGACTGAAGAGCTCAGCGATAAGAAAACACCGTAACACTTTCTATGAATGTCACGTTTGTAAGCATCTATAAACACATTTATAACATGTTATAATGCCTTCATTAACATGATTATAAACATTTATAAAAATGAATTACACTTTTATAGCCATGTTTATTATACATTATGAATTGTTAATATAATGCATTATAAGTAGTGTTGATAACATGTTGTACTGTCAGTGCCAAAGAAGTCAGTCCCAGCTTGGAGAGTGTAAAGACAAGCTAACAGTGGTGTACACTAACTTTCCCACATTGGGTAAAACACTGATGGCAGCTCTAGTTTAAACTCTGACATTTGTAGCCTGTAATGTGCTTTATTGTGTATGTTTTAGTGTTTCAGTAAATCCTTCAGTTAATACTTCAACTTGAAGCCTCACTCTTAACACTGGAGGAGGCTTTAGTACAGTACGCTTCACTTTACTTAGAGCGGACAAATACGACTTATGAGCTCTTATAATTTGTTAGGATCAGTACTTATAATGTATTATGTTAACAATTCATAATGCGTAATAAGCATGGCTATAACATATAATGCACTTTTATAAATATTTAAAGCCATGCTTATAATGCCTTATGAATGCATTATAACATGTTATGAATGTGTTTATAGATGCTTACAAAGGTGACATTCATAGAAAGTGTTACCGGAAACACTGCCCTGGACCTGTAATCACTAAAACCCTGTTATAACCATAGTGGTCAATGTGATATGTTTTTTTTTTAGATTGTATGGATGAAAAGAGGAGCTGTAGAGTGAGTTTTACAGACTGGTCATACTATGGAGGCATGGAACACAAGCTACATCAGCATGATTACATCATCTTTTAACAAGAAAGTGGTCATTAGGTTCATAAGTTTTCTGCAAAAAAAAATTTCTCCTGTAATTAATGTTAGCAAAGAGCTAGCTACTTAATTTAAAACTTGTTTTGCATTGTCTAAACATTACACCATGTGCCATGTTCATCTAACTACACTCCTCAAACATCACTTACTTTAACTATAACCTCACAGGCATGTTTTCTAGCTAAAAAGTCCCAGTTAACACATTGATGTACTCTAATTAACATACTTTATTATTTTGGTTGGAGTTTATTTCCATAAAATACGCACACATGTAGCACTCCACCAATCACTGATGTATAGAAGTTCTTTATGATGTCATAAAAGGAGCTCACATGTAGCAACTCACCAAGAAGTGTTGTATAAGTTTTTTGTGATGTCATAAAATGAGCTCACATGTAGCAACTCACCAAGAAGTGTTGTATAAAAGTTCTTTGTGATGTCATAAAACGAGTTCATAACAATCACTGTTCAACAAAAACCTTGCTTTGACTGTACAACTGCACATTTGTGCTGCAATTATTGTTAGCAAATAGCTAACCAGCCAGTTGACTGCTACTGAGCTAGCATGCATTTATCATAAGTGGACACAAGTGGAGTTTCAGTATTTGAGTTTTGCTGTGCATTGTTCTAACTCTGCTCACTGCCCTGTTGATTTACCAACTTCACTGTTCATCCATTGCTAATATTAGCTTACAGGCACTGTGACTGAAGAGATCCTTATCATATAGCTATGTAGCTTGTTTACTGCTAGTACACTAGCTCACATTTGTCACAGGTAGACACAGGCTGGATTCAGTATTCGCTGACATTAGCTCAGTTGGCACAAAGCATGTTCTGTGGCTAAATCATCTAAAGCAGGTAGTTATCTAGCTTGTAAACTAGCCTGCATTTGTCACAAGTAGACATGGTGTAGATTTCAGTATTTGGATCGTGATTTGCCATGTTAGATTGTCAACTGCACTGCTTGAACATCATTAATATTAGCTAAGTTAGCCATCATTAGTGTAGGCATTTTCTGTGGCTACGTTTTCCATTTATCAAGCTGTTATACCCTGCTAGCATATTTAAGTGTATGTTAGGTAAAGCATATTCTGTGACATCAAAAAATTAGCTTTTATGTAGCGCCCGACCAAAGTATTGCTGTTTCCAAGAGCAGAGATTGTCACTATGTTCAATGGAAATGTGAAAATACTCATTAGAGCGAATGCCAATGTAAATAATTGTTAATTAATCAGAAAGAGTAAAACACTTTGAAACCACAACCTGAGTGCAAAAACTCCAGGAAACAGTACTTTTTTTTTATTAAATTTTATTTAAAACTTTCATTAGCAAAGTAGACTTTTTAATACCAGGAGTCCATGATGCGCCTCATGCTCATGAACCTCATGCCGCTCATTCCCATCATGTGCCTGAAGCTCCTGTAGTGTCCGGGTCCGAAGTACCACATCCTGCCTCTGTAGTTGGGCTGGTCGTACATGAGCCAGTGGCCGTCCATGACGTGGCAGGACATGCAGCCGTGGGACCAGTGGAAGCGGTCCATGAAGGACTCGCAGTCCTCAGTCATCTCCATCATCTGGCCCATGTAGTTCTCCCTCTCGTAGACCCTCATTCTGTAGGGTCCGCTGTACTGTTTGAGGAGAAATAAATAGAAATTACTTTGGGAAATGAATTATCAAAAGTGAGGGCCTTCCATGTTAGCAAATGTAAGGGCTAGCAGTCAAACAGTTAGCAATCTTACCCTGGGAATCATGCGGCAAGACTTGATCCAACCATTCATTCCCCACATGCTCATGTAGTCGTTGTACTCGCCCTTCCTGATGAAGTAGCCATTACCCATGAAGTTGGGGCGGTCGTAGACCATCCAGCAGCCGCTCTCCACCCTGCAGGAGTGGCAGCGGCTCAGGTAGGAGGACATATCGGAGCAGTCGCTGCTGCATTCCCAGGAACGTCCCATGAAGTTCCTGTCCTCGTAGAAGATGATCTGTCAAAGAGGAATCAGTGGCACATTATTCAGTTTGCACATTAGGGAACAGCAGAATCACAAAATCTTTCCAAACTGTGTCCCATGTTGGTATGTCCAGCTTACCTTGCCCATCATTTTGGCGGCTTTGGTTGGTGTTTCCAACTGAGCTGTTTCCAACTGGTGACTGACACACTCTGCTCTGGTTTAACCCTTGCATTTATACCTCACCCCAACCCAAAGGATATGCGCCTCCTATTGTCAAAACTCCTGACCAAGCAACATAGCACAGAGGCCCACAGAGAGGCTGAAGTGCTTTCGGTACATTGCCAGGTGAATTATTCTCCAAAGACTTTAGAATGGACCCCACAGGCAAGACAATACAATACTGAGCCTTTTTTAAAAATGTATTCTTTTGGCCTTTACAGGCCAAAGGCAGATTACACACAGAAGTAGGGACAGTAGTAGAGTTTTTGTTATGTTAATGTGGATGACCTTTGCTTGTCCTCCAAGAATGCCTTTTTTGCATTTTTTTTCTTCTAAGCTTGCAAAATTTGGTTTGAAAATGATGCTGAACTGTTTTGCAAAGCTGTACACATCAATTGTTATATAAGCCATTTAATATTACTGTCAACTGTAATGCTACGTATAAATAAGCACATATAAATAAATATAATAACTAAACAAATAAAGAACTAAATAAATAAATAAATAGTACTGTGCAAATGAACTTAGGTACATTGTAACCGTTTTTCAGCAATAACTGCTTGTAAAGAACACTAGTATAACATTAGAAAGCAAATGGACGTAAATACAGTAAAGAGTAACGTTTTACTTTACATAATTTCCTATTTCTTATTTTAAAAAGGTAGTTATTAATATCTTATGAGCTCTTCAGAAGACCAAAGTTTAGTTCCAGATCTTCTCCACGTAAATTTGTTAAATTCCATCACCAGCACACCTGATTTAACAAAATTAAGTGATTTGCGCTGTAAAAAGTGGCTCATAAGATCTACTTAAAAAATGACTTCATGTGGTAACAAGTAAATTAACTAGTTTTATTCAACCTAAATAAATGCTTTGAATGAACAACTTTTTCAATCTATGTAGTTCTACAATAAAACTAGTTTAATTGCTTGTTACCAGATGAAGTTTTAAGTAGATCTGATGAGCCACTTTATACAGTGTGTAAAAACACGTGTTGGATGATAACTGCAGGGGCATCCTTGAGGGAAATTGTTATATAAACAAACAGACATGCATAAAACCACTACTTATTGTATTAAAATGATTTGTATTTATTATACTGTAGTGTCCCACCACTGGCTTGCGCTGCCATGGGAGTTGGCACACTCGCAGTAGGAGAGACATTCCTTGTAAATAAGTTGTCATTGTTGACTTAACAATGTGCTCGTGTTGCTCATGCTTTACTCTGCTGGGTTTTGTGGGTCTACCACAGAGTAAGGCTAAAAGTGTAACGGCTGTTATCTCAGCGTTCAATAAAAAGAGCATTCGACTTCAAAGTGCAGTGTGTGCCACGCTGATGCCACACTGGTGTCAGAAGTGGGATAGCGTCCTGGGGAGGAATAGTGCTTCCACAAATTCAAAGGCAGACAGTGGAGAAGTCTGACCGAAGACCACAGAAGTAGAAGCAGTGCAGCAAGGACTGGCATCAAAGGCGCACTGCTGCCAGAGGAACCGAACCCTGTGAGACAGCTGACGTTTGAAGGGAGAGGCTATGTAGCATCCAGCTACTGGCCCGTGCTGTTATAGGAGTGCAGGAGGCATGGCCATGCAGAGTGGCCGCCCAAAATGGCCACATCCACAGTAGGAGAGACATTCCTGGTAAATAATTTATCACTGTTAGCCTAATGATGTGCTCGCGCTTTACTGTGCTGGGCTATGGGGTAAGTTTTGTGGGTTTACTGTGTTCCATGGAGCAGAACTGTATGGCTAGAAGTGGCTTTTCTGCTTCTTGGCAGGGAATGACAAAATATTATCATTATTGTGATAAATGATATCACTATATGCTTTTCTGAGTGTGTGGTGTGTGTAATAAGTACTTCTAGAGCACTAAACAGCTGCATTTATCATAAAAAAGACCATACATTTAGACCAATTACAGAAAGTTTGTACACAACAACAGCAACAGGTGTAACATTGGATGATCAACTTATATTTGTTAACTGATTTTTTATTGTGTAAATTATAACTATTTTAATTCATATCATATATTGTGGATGTTATATTTCTGCCATATTTTCCACCCACAGTATACTCAAGTATGAAAATGTTTGCAATATTTTCCAGTTAAAATAATTTGTAGCTCTCCAACAAAATGGAGCTCCTCCTAAAAGAAATCACATACTTGATCCCTTTCAGAGTTTAAAGGTTATTTCTTCGGTGTGACAATGTTAGCAGCTACTGCTTAAAATGAGAGAGTGCTTTGGGATTGAAAGGACTGGGCCTTAAGTGAGGCCATATTTTGAATTTAATATGCTACCAAATGTCTTCAGGATGGTGCAAAACTGTTTTTGACATTTGCTGGTTCCAATGAGGGAGAAAAAGTGTAGTTTTTATCTAAAAAACCCATTTATGACCAAAACCACTTAGAACTAAATGTCCTCAGAAGTCTAGTAATATGAAAGAAGTGTGACTATTTGCTGTTCCACACAAGTGAATATATTTCATAGAAATGATGTATTTTTCAATTTCTTTTCCAGATCAGTTGTGGTGGTGGTTGTGGTGGTGGTCAAGGTTAAGGCTGTGGCGAAGGTTATTTTGTGAGTTCATGCATTTTTCTACAGGGCTTAATAGACAAGGTCTCTCCATGAATGATACTAAAAAGTGTGTTCAGTGAAAATTCAGACTGAGTTCTGAGATACATTCAATTACATTGGATTTCCTGTGTATTGGTGCTGAGGGGAGATTGAGTATTCTCCTGTAAGCCTGCCGCACCTTTCAAATGCCCTGAATGTTCCTGCACTACTTGTTAAAGGCTTGAATGAGATGGATGAAAACAAATTATGCTGTGTTTCAGATAAAGCGCCTGTTCTATCAGAGCAGCTCTTATTATCTAAAATGTTGGAAACATTTAAAAAAACATGGTTCTTCAAAGGTTTAGTAAAGATGATGGTTGTATTAAGAAGCATGAGTTCTATATAGGACTATTTCATGCTTAAATGATTCTTTGAAATGGTTCTTCAGATTGATGGAAAATGTGTTGTATACGGTTCTATATAGAACCTTTTTGAAAATGGTTCTGCAGTGCATGAAAAAGGATTCTTCCCTTGTTTCTAGCTTGACATTGTAACAGTAGCAGAAACATTTTGGTGCTGCATGGTAACCATTCTCAAAATGGTTCTATATAGAACTGTATACAACACAATCAGCATTAATCTGAAGAACCATGCAAATGATGCTTTGAGTGTTCATGAGTCTATATAGAACTATTGGTCCTCATTTATCAATATCTTCCTAACGTTTGTTCTTAAATTTGCTCTTGAGCAGGAGATCAATAGTTCAATCCCTGGTGATGCTACTTCAGATTCATGACGTGTTCTCAAACCGCAGAACCGTTCTCACGTTTGTGCTCTTCAGTGTGTGTAGATTCTGTTCTTACCTACGAACAAATTCCAAATAAGAAAACATTAGTGAATGTCGGAATCATCCAAAAATATTGTGTAAATGGGTTTTAAGAAGAAATTTCGGTAACACTTTCTATGGATGTCGCGTTTGTAAGCATCTATAAACACATTTATAACATGTTATAATGCATTCATATGGCATTATACACATGATTATAAACATTTATAAAAAGGAATTACACTTTATAGCCAAGTTTATTATACATTATGAATCGTTAATATAATGCATTATAAGTAGTGTTGATAACATGTTATAATGTCAGTGCCAAAGAAGTCGTAAAGCGTAAAGTAAAGACAAATACCAAGCTAACGGTGGTGTACATTACCTTTCCCACATTGGGTAAAACACTGATGGCAGCTCTAGTTTAAACTCTGACATTTGAAGCCTGTAATGAGCTTTATTATGTATGTTTTAGTGTTTCAGTAAATCCTTCAGTAAATACTTCAACTTGAAGCCTCACTCTTAACACTAGAGGAGGCTTTAGTACAGTACGCTTCACTTTACTTAGAGCAGATAAATACAACTTATGAGCTCTTATAATTTGTTATGATCAGTATTTATAATGTATTATGTTAACAATTCATAATGCATATTAAGCATGGCTATAACGTGTAATGCATTTTAATAAATATTTATAGCCATGTTTATAATGCCTTATGAATGCATTATAACATGTTATGAATGTGTTTATAGATGCTTACAAAGGTGGCATTCATAGAAAGTGTTACCGAAATTTCTTCTTAAGAACGGTTGGGGAATAAGGCCCATTGTCTTTACTAAAGAGCCCTTGAAGAACCATCTTCGTGTAGTTTTATATTTTGATTTTTTTTTTTAACTTTATTAATGAATCTCTATAAAGACTTGACTTTGTACACTGAACATCAGGTCTGAGGCATTTGTCTTGCTGAGTAACTTTCTTTGTTTGTTTGCAATGAAGGTTGCCAAACAAGTTGCAGTGGCTGGAATAAGACGTTGTGCAAAAGTTTGGGTGTCCCTGGTCAAATTCCATGTTTTGTTCATTTTTTGAGTGAAAATAAATGAACACATCCTCTACAGAGAACACTAAAATTAAGTACAATGATTAAAAGTGAAATATATAATTTAGCCTATGCAAATATGTCCAACTCAGCAAATAATTAGTAATTGTGCACTAAAACCTGCAGAAACACAGCATTTTGAGTGTTTTCTCTGTAGATGGTGCGTTCAGAAAATCAATGAAACATAATTTGGTTGAGGGTGTTCAAACTTTTCCATGACTTCCTACAATTAACATTGAATTACCATCATGATGGATATGAAGACAAACATTCAATTTTACAGTATTTTGGCAGTATTTCTCACTTTTCAGTTGATAATCTTTGCTCTTAATGCTCAAAAATTAAAAAACAAGTAGTACTAATATTTCATATGTCCAGTTTGTATTTTTTATTTTTAAACAATTCGTTGGATAGTATTTTATTTTTAATTTGAATTTGGTCATGTAAATTAAA